AATATCCATGTAAAACAAAATGTTTTGCATAACATCACGGCGGTGTGGGTGATAACACTTAACGGCACAGATTTTTCTACATAATCTTGTCGGTTAACGAGCGTCGGTTGTCGGTTAGGAAAAATAACCGAAATGAACATCCCTACTATCTATCTGTCTGTCTGTCCATCAATCTCTCTGTGCCTCATCTGTCTGTCTGTCTGTCCGTCTGTCTGTCTGTTCTATCCTTCTGTATGTCTGTTGATTGGTCTGTCTTTCTGTCTATCTGTGGTTCATTCTATCTAATGTTCTGTCTATCATTCAGTCTATGGTTTGTTCTGTCTGTCTTTCTGTATCTTTCATTCTGTCTTTAGTTCTATCTATTTCAGTCTATCTATTATTCTGTCTGTGTGTCTGTCTATCCCTCCCGCTGCTTTTTAACTCTCTGTCTCACTGTGTTGTGTTAGTCAGGTCAGGTTCATATATTCTGGAAAGAAGGATGAACAGAAGTTTGTGTAATGTTGTCACCTTCAGTCCATTCAGACATTCATTGTTGATTTTTCATTTCATTAGCCTCTGCAGACTCTGCTAAACCACATTTCACAGACTGTCTCACATTTAGAGCTCTACATCACACCCCAATAAACATTCTGAACTGGTTTATAGCACATTAACATGTTTGTTCACTGTTACTTGATTTAATGAGGTTGAAATTCAGCACATATCAGGATACGTCATTGGTGTTTATTATTGCCCCTGGAGCTTTCTTTACTGTTTCCCCTAATCTTCATTCCTCACTTCCCTCTTTTGCCTTCTCTCCTTTACCCATCCATGTCTTTTCCCTGCTATCCAAGCATGCCCTGCTCTCTTGTGCTCTCCTATCCTCTCCTCTCTTTCCCCATGTTCTGGAGGTGAGGTAGACCTGGAAGCCTTTCTGCAGGGCTCTGTTTGATATGTTTGATATATTAGGTTGTTTTTCTGTCCAACTATATATCAAACATATTCCTACAGTGTCCTGCTCTGTCTCCAGACTTGTGTGTGTTCTGTTTATGACTTGTTCATGAACGTGTGTGTTTTTGTGACTTCAGACAGATCAATTTGTGTAGGTGGCACGCAAGGGTGTGTCTTAGGTCCATTAGAATTGTGCCATTTGCTTTGATGCTGTTGATTCTGAACAGTGTGAACCTAAGAATTGGCACCACCATGCCACAAGGTGTCACCCTCAGATCACTTTGTCGAAGTTACATCTCACCTTCTTCCTTTCATCGCCTTGACTATAGCCTTGTCCAAATACCCACACTTGCGGTCTTTGCACTTGACCACTTGACTACTTACATGACGTATTTCCTGTATTTGGCCCAAGTGTTCAAGTGAGGATGAAGACCACAAGTGTGGGTATTTGGACAAGGGGTGTGTTTGGAATAGCATACTGCCATACTACTCATACTGTTAATGCAGTATGTAGTATGCTGTTTGCACCAAATTTTCATTAAAAGTTCAGTATATAACAAGAGCACACTGCAAGGATTATTATACCCCACAATGCACTTAATACAACCTTCCATTTACAGTTTTATAAATGAACCAGAAGTAATATCGACAACATTTTCAACATTTTCAACATCACTAATCATTATTTTATCAAATTTTTAAAACAAAATGGATTCAAAGTGCAAAGTAAATGTTATTTTCACATCATGTGACAACAGTGTGGCATACTGCTGTTTGAAACATTTTTAATTTCTGTATTACCATCTGTTTCACTTACCGTTTTAAAAAATAGTTGTCTGTATATGCTGCACAGTATCCAGTAGGCTAGTATTCCATTTGGAACATAATGAAATAGTGTTTGTTCAAAATAGCATATTATCATACTACTTGTGCAGTTTTATTGCAGTATGCATTATATACATTTTTCAGTGTATGCACATATGCATGGAATATCTACTGCATTTGCCGAAATGTTCTGTATAGAACCAATCCACACTGCATGGATTACTATATCCCACAATGCCATTTTTTTCAACCTTCCAATTCCAGTGTCACATTTCATGCATACAGAAAATAAGCATTCTGTGCACCATGTACATGCTGCATACTCGAAGTGTATTACAAGCAGACTAGTAGTATGTTATTCTGAACAAACTATTACTCTTTGTTTGTATAGTGGAACGCATGTCAACCTTCAGGATGTGGTGTTTGATTAACCAATTGGTGGAAATCTGTCAGATGAAATGTATTTTCTGGGATCAACACAATGTGTCTTGCTAAAAAAAAAAAAAATTCGTAGTATAATAACAGATAATAAAATCTCAGTTCCCTTAAATGGTTTTGAAGTAATGGCTTGGTGAGAGGATTGTTATCAATTAGCATAGATAAAGCAAAAGTATTCATTACACTTAATAAGGTGACAATCCACAGTTTGTTATATCTCTTGCTTTCTTATTTTCGCAGCAAGCCGATGAGTCTCTGGACTTTGAGGAGCAGATCCTGGAAGCAGCGAAGTCCATCGCTGCAGCAACCAGCGCTCTGGTCAAATCCGCATCGGCCGCCCAGAGAGAGCTCGTAGCACAGGGCAAGGTGCTAAAATCATTTAACGCATATTTTTTTTACACATACAAAGTTTTCTACTTTTCAGTGTTGTTATTGCTATTAAAAATCTTTTTGTTAATTGAAATAAAGCTGAAATAACACTTAAAAAATTGAAACAGAAATTGCCTTGGTAACTAACTGAATTAAATAAATCACTAAAATGATTAAAACTAAAACTGAAATAAAAATTAATTAAAGCTAAATAGAAAAATTTACTTTAAAATTACATTTAAATTTAAAAATAAAAGCAAAATTAAAGATATTAATACGTTCTATAATAGTACATAAATAACATTGACACTTTTTAATATTTTTGGTATTTGATGTAGGTGGGCTCCATCCCTGCCAATGCAGTAGATGATGGCCAGTGGTCTCAGGGTCTGATATCAGCAGTAAGTTGAAGTTATCACCATTGCAATAGATGTAAAGTTGCTTTGACCAGAAGCATCAGCTAAATGACTATTATAATTTGAATCCTTCCCTCTTTTAGGCTCGGATGGTTGCGGCCGCCACTAGTAGCCTGTGTGAGGCTGCCAACGCTTCAGTCCAGGGTCACGCCAGCGAGGAGAAGCTCATTTCCTCTGCCAAACAGGTGGCAGCTTCCACCGCTCAGCTGCTGGTGGCCTGTAAAGTCAAAGCAAACCAGGACTCAGAGGCCATGAGGAGATTACAGGTTACAATCACTTGAATAATACAAAATTATATGAGTTCTAAGTGAAAAACAACAACTAAGTTGTAGTTTATTATTATTATTTGTTTTTTTGTGTTTGCACAGGCTGCTGGTAATGCCGTCAAGAGAGCATCTGACAACCTGGTGAAGGCAGCGCAGAAAGCAGCCTTCGATAAAGCCGAAGACAACAGCGTCGTGGTTAAAACTAAATTCGTAGGTGGAATCGCTCAGGTGAGATTCTTCCCAATGTTCCCACAGAGAAAAAAAAGTCAGAATCTGTTCGTCCACAGCAGTTTTTGAATATTCCTTGACTTCTGAAGTGATGCTGCTCAATTGAAAAGAGAGATTTGACATTTAGAACTGCATTGTGGATCCATCAGCGGGATTTGAAAGCTGTGGTTTTGTACCAAGCATCTACAGCTGGCATCTTACGCTGGGCCGCTGTATCCACAAACAGCTCATTTTCACGTTTCATCCCGGGCCAGATGCACAAATTAAAGACTGTGTGTCTGCCTATTCAAAGCTTCCTTCCTCCCAGAATGCCTTCATGTCTTGTCTTCATCTTGAGAGGGCACTGGAATATTCTGAACATCTGAGAAAGTCCGTTGAGTGGATGGCGTGAGTGTTTGCATGCACCCTCGAATCGTTGCCAGCACAACAAAAAGAAGCTTTTTGTACCGAGTCAGTCCCTCTTCAGAAGGTCAAGCCTTGATCTAGCCGTCCCATTCCTTAAATCCACAAAAATGTTACACTCTTTGGAAAATAACTGGATGTCTGTTGCAGATCCAGTCCCACTTTTTCTGCAGTACGGTTATGCTAAAATTACACATTCCAGTAAAGAATATGAAGCGTTTTCTCTCTGTCACTAAGAAAGCAGCAGAAGGAAAAACTACTTTGGGGGAAAAAAAACTGGAAGAAAAAACATCCCTTGGCATTTTTCCTTGGCTATAATATGTAAGCGTTATTTATGTATCATTGTACTGCAAAAGATTTGGCTGTCTTCATCTAAGGAAACTGGTTTTAAACAATCGGCAGGACTGATTGGAGACCAGGTTTTAGATCTGAAACTTTAACATTGTATACAAACATTGGCACTCATTCGTGAAACATGAAAATAAAGAATTTCTGTACACATTGTTTATAAAACAATTCTTACTTAAATTGTTGAGTTAGTGCTTGAAACACGCAGAATCTGTGTAAATCATTCTTGCATAAATTGCATTCATCTGCTATTGTTTGCATTCATGCAACACAAGCAAAACAAATTTGTACAAACCGTTATTGCATGAATTGCCATAATGATGTTGCATTTATTTATGCACAAAACACAAGCAAAAAGAATTGGTGGTAATTGTTGGTAAAAACCATTCTTATGTAATTTGATGCATTTGTCACATGCATATGAAACAGAATGAATTAATCTGTGTAAGCCAATTGAATTCATCTGCATTTCTTGCATTCATGCAACATAAGCAAACAAACCTGTATAAAACATTCTTGCATAAATTGCCACAATGATCTGCAGTCATATTGCATTTGTGCATGGAACAGAAAAATGCATTTTATAATTGCTCATAAAACCATTCCATTACAGTAATTTGTTGCATTATCAACACATTCATGAATGCAACAAGAACAAGTTTGTGTAAACCATTCTTGCGTAAATTGCATTAATTAGCATTTGTCGCATTCAGGGAACACAAGTCAAAAAAAATTGTGTAAACATTTTTTTTTGAGTAGATTTTTGCATTCATGTCACATTGATTCATGGAACGTGATCAGAAAGAATTTCTGTGGTAATCTTTCTTGCATAAATAGTCATAATCATGTTGCATTCATGCATGAAACGAGCAGAATGAGTTTGTGTGATTCATCTGTGAAACCATGTTTGCATTGTTGCATTCTTGCTGCATTCGTTCCTTCTTAATCGTTCAGAAAACTGATCTTAATTCTAGTCACATTTACCATTAATGTTTGAAACGTGCAGAACGAATCTGCATGTTTGTAAGTCCATTGTAACGTACATTTTTGCATGTGCATTCTCATGTCATGTCACAGCGGAAGGAATTTTTTATAAATTGTTCGTAATTATATCGCAGTGCAACAATTTTCCCAAGAATCGTTTTTTTGAATGATTTACACAGGAATTTGTTCTGCTCAATTTTCATGAATGTTGCCTATTCAGTGACTAATAGTTTTGCATTATTTCCAGATCATTGCAGCACAGGAGGAGATGCTCAGAAAGGAGAGGGAGTTAGAAGAAGCCCGGAAGAAACTCGCCCACATCCGACAGCAGCAATACAAGTTCCTGCCCAGCGAACTGCGAGAAGACCAGAGCTGAACACGCCTCGTCTGATTGGACGTGATATCCATCGGATCATTATTGTTACGGATGATTGGCTGCTCCTTATATGCAGAGCTAGAGATGTCACACGTCATTGGTTGTGTAACTGTCAGGTGACTTGTTAAAGTTAAATGTGATTGGCTCACATGGGACTAGCGCCACTGATTGGCTGTATGTTGGGGTATGAATGGATTTCCTCTTACATAGGGCTAATATTTTTTGTTCTTGTTTTTTTTAATCATGTATTAAGGTGTAAAGCACTTGTTAGAGGTTTGTTCGAGCGTGTGCGTGATTGTGTGTTTTATGTATCAATAGTATGCCACACATTGGCGATATCTTACCGTAAGAATCTCGATAACTAATCCTACACAATGTCAGTGTATCATGTTTTATAATGCAACCAATGTGAAACTATTAATATCTGAAGCTGGCAGCCGCAAACCAGACAAAATGTACTTATAAAATTTACTTAAAGTGTGATGTCAGACCATAAGCTTTCATTATTCGCTCGCGTGACGATAAGCTTCAAACGCCTCTAGAATGCACTGCTCGATTCATACATATGCCACTCTAGAACTGGATTATGATAGCAAGGTTATGAATTCTAGCTAGCTATAAGGAAAGAATGTACTGGTGCTCTTTGTCGTGTTATTTATTCTTAGCAGAACTTTATTAGAGTAGCTTCCAGCCTCTCTTTGCGTTTGTAGGTCTAGTTGAGGGCTCTACGGATTAAGGAAGTATCATGTCTTTCAGTTCTTTCAATTCATGCAAATGGTTTCATTCAGTCGTCTCTTCATACCTCAGCTGTATCCTACATTGTAAGGTTTCCCATGGTTCCTCTGGGTGTGTCTGAACTTAGTCAGGTGGGCAGGAATGAGGTTTGCCCAAACACAATGGATATGTTCGGATTAACACACTACCATACTACTCATACTATTTCTGCAGATGCATACTTTGCACAGTATGCAAATTTTACACATTAGAATAACCAGATGAAATACTGTGTCCTACAATGAAATGACAATCGTCTTTTTTGTGCCAAAAATTTCCTTTTTTTTTTTTTTTTACAAAATTGGATGAAAATGCGAAGAAATTATAGGAACATTATATCCCACAATGCAATGCTCTTTTTTTTGAATGAACAAGAAATAATACAAGCCTCAATTTTGGCCGATTTCAAATTGACACACTACATATCTTTTTTATATCTTTTATATGCATCAAAATTTTTAAAAAAAATTCATAGAATAGGCCTATTTGAAAAAATGTGGGGAAAAAAGTGAAAAATTTCAAGACGGTTGGACACAAATTAAATGTGCATAATAATTAGGTCATGTTTCAACAATATAACACACTACACTTTGCACAGTATGCAGATTTTCTTTATTGAAATAACCAGACGACCTACTATATTTGCCAAAATCTGCAGTATGGAGAAACGGTACACTGTGTGGAACACTATATCCCACAATGCAGTGTGCTCAAATTCGTTTTTTTATTTCCAATGTGATGAATGAACAGAAAAATAATACCAGACACAATTTTGGCTGTATTCGAAATAGCATACTAGCATACTACACATCTTTAATTTGCAGCAAAATTTCCGTATTTTTTTGCACATAATTGGATAAAAATCCGAAAAACCTTTTGAAAGCAATCTGAATTAAATGTGTTGAGGTGTGTCAACGATATAACACATTGCTGATTGCATACTGCACACTATTCAACATGCTATTTTTTTAAATAGTAGACAGTAAACAGTGTATACTATTTTAAGTATTGAATACGCAGAATGCTAGCATTTCATTCCAAATATAACCTGCATCTAGAGCTGTGTTAGAAGAAGAACTTTACACAAATTGCGCCAAACAGGCTACGTGGCAAGGTCATGTGACAACAATGTAGCATACTTACCGTCTGAAATGTTTATCATTGAATCTTAATAATCCAGACTGTTTCACATGCTATTTTTAAAACAATAGTAGGCAGTATACAGTATATACTGTGCAGTATGCAGTACGCGGAGCGCTAGTATTCCATTCTGAACGCAGCCAGAATCTCAGTGTTGTACTTTCTAATATCACAGTTCTCATAAGACACATATGCTCGCATTTCTAGTCTTTTTGAGATCTACTTTGCAATAGATCCACCGCAGATCAACTTCCTGTTTGAGATTGTACCTGCATGGCTGTTAGGAACACAGCAGGAAGCGCAGTGTAGTCTTACCTGCAAATAACACATCTCTTCTGCTTATCGTGTACTTCATGTGTGTTTTTGGTAAGAAAATCCCAGTGGAATCTTTTAAGAGGGTGTAATTCCCGTTTCATTTCCTGTTTGTGTTGTGTAGAATAACATGTGGCACTTAAAAGATGAGAACTGACTGTTGTGACTTCAGATCTGGACTGCATTGTGTCATAGTGCCTTATTCTGACTTCTGCAGTAGCTCAGTGTGTGTGCAAGTTGCTCTTTTATGCTGCTTAAGGACCAGATTTCACTGGAATTTAATGTTAAGGTGTTTCGGATCAGCAACAGAGCTCCGTCTACCAGTACTGAGCAAGTATAAGCATCGTCCGTCTTTAAATGTGTGAAGCAGATGTGCTTTGTCCTGTTCGAACTAGCTTTGGATGTGTACAGCGTTGTTTCCAGTCTAAGCCGAGTATGGTGACTAAATCTGACGTCCATTGGGCGGCCGTTTGATTCTGTTCTGCAATATTGTACCTACTGAGGCCTAAAGAAGCACTTGCCTTGGCAGGCCGCTATACTGCCGCACGATGAACTATTTAGACGTTTAGATGTACAGCTTCACTACAAACCACGAGTAGGAAAAGGAAGGATGTGATTGTGTCTGTCAGCACTGACTGCTTTCAGCTTGTCCACGTGAAGTAGAATATTAAAGTGTCCCAAAAAAGAACAAGGTTATCTTGCTTTTCATTTCAATAAACCACGTTTTTTTGTTTTGTTTTTTTACTTCGAGTTATAGCTATAATGAAGATATTGCAATATGTGGTTGAACATGTGGTAAACAGCAAGAACTATCGCCTTCTTTTGAACTAGAGTTAGGGCTGTCTTTAATCAACTGACATAGTAACATTAATAATGATAATAATAATGAACATTAAAATGCTGTATGTATAATATTTATCTGGTCACGAAAGTATTTTTTGTATTGCCCTGAAAATAAAGAGTTTCAACAAAGTATAATTTGTGAAAGCATTTTTTTTGTTTTGGTTTTGTTGTGGGGTTTTGATAATTACACAGGATTTTGATAATTATAATGTAAAAATTTTTTAATCAGTTAATAGGTAACACTTTATTTTAGTGTCCTTGTTATACATCTTATGTGTCCTTACTATAGTAATAACAGAAAATTATGCATAATTACAAGCAACTATTCCTAAACCAAATTATACCATATAACCTTAATTTTATAGTAAATGTTAATTAATATTAGTCAGTATTTAGTTGTATAATTACACTGTAACGAGTGCACATACAACAATTGTATGTATATAGCGTGTGTGTGTGTATTGCACACACTATATTTATATTTTTTTTATATTATATATATATATGTATATATATATTATATTTTTATTAAAGGTAATATAATTCTTAATTAAATAAAATTCTTATCTTTAAAAAATAGAAATATTACTATTATTAATATTTATGTTTGTATTTATTTTTCAAGATAAAATGTTACCAGTATTATATATTTTTATTATTCTTTATTATAATTATTTTTATTTTTATATTTCTTTTGCCGTGTAAATGGATCTTAAATAATAATAATAAATAAAAGCTCTTTTTTATCATATCTACCAGAAACCCCTAGCAACTAGGCTACATAGCAATCTACGAACTTTTCATTAAATGTGGCATAAATTAGACCCCCAAAAAAAACAACGTTTGCCTGTTGCTCCAGTTTTGTCTAGACTTGGTATAGAGCAGCTGTGGTAAGTTTTAAATGTATCTCAAAGTTTTTGCTGGGATTCCTCACCGAAGTAGACTAAATCTGTCGTTTTCTCTGTGTAAAGTGGTAATTATCCAAGTACACACTAAACCAAGCAAATGCTCACAGTGTTTTTACGACCATTATAAATATTTAGGCTCAGAAATATATTCACATCCTTTCACTTACATGTTCTGCATTTTATTTCATCAGCATAATTTATAAGAGCGGTGTGAACGCGTTCGACGCAGTTTGTGCAGCTCTAGATGTGACACATTCTCTCCAGCAGGTGTCGCTGTTACTTCATGTGTTGTGGTCACGGTCATTCTGGGAATTATATTGCGGATGGCCAAATTACAGTCTATGTGACCAAAAAAGGACATGTGGCAGCTTTTGCTTCGACTCCCGACAGCGAGCTATAAGAGAACAGCATGTTCGACCAACATGGGAGAGTATAACGAGCGATAAACGTGATTTCATTGCCATGTTCTTAAGTGATAATCAACAAATTGATACTGTTGATATGAGATGAGACAGAAACATACATAAATTATTTACTCTTAATTCTATCCATTAGTTCCCATTCTAGATATTAAGGCCAGACAGATGAAGTCCAGAAGAGTAGAGTAAAGCTTGTCTAATGAACACCATATTAGGCTGCTGAAGCATGTTGTAGGCTACTTATGAGTCCAGCCTACTTAAAAAAAAATAATAATAACAAAGCCCCCCAAAAAAGAAAAGAACAAAAATTGCAGCCATTCTGTCTCTACAAAATGCACACCATACAGTACATAACGCAGTAAAAGGAGGGATGTTGGTTTTGGTTTTTGGCTCAGATTCAGTCCAAAATCCATGAGATATCAACCATCTTCCTCCAGTGTGTAAATCTTAATGTTCACTGAATACTGAGCTCAGCTGAGGTCTGTGTAGCACTGTTCAGTCACGTGTGAAGCGGCGCTGCACCTGAGCGGGTTTTTAAAGGGGTCATATGATGCGATTTCAATCTTTCCTTTCTCTTTGGAGTGTTACAAGCTCTTGGTGCATAAAGAAGATCTGTAAAGTTGCAAAGACTAAAGTCTCAAATCCAACGAGATATTCTTTATAAAAGTTAAGAGTCAACCACGCCTATCTAAAACGGCTCATTCTAACACGACCCCATGTCTGCGTCACGATGTGGGAAGATTAGCATAACGCCACCCAAATGTTCACGCAACCGCATAAACACATTTCATTACACCAAATACACAAAATAATGTTCTTTTTAGCAACATCATATGACCCCTTTAAAGTCTGATCTGAGGCATGATGGGAAACCTTGTTAATGATGCGAACACTGCATGAACTCGTGTGGTTACGCAAAACCCACATTCACACATGCAGCAAGACCAGACTGTAAAGTACTATTTAAAGGGATAGTTCACCTATAATACAAATTGTCATTTGCTCCCCATCATGTCATTCCAAACCTGTTTCCCTTTCTTTCTTCTGCAGAAATGGGTTAACTGTCCCTTTAAGCTACTGTAAAATCAGTATTTGTTGATGCTGAATATGAATATTGGGTTGACATATATCAATGTCTGAAGTGGGATGATTTCTTCAACTTGGTAGTAAAATTTTTAAGTGAAATGCTGAAAATTTCAGGCATAAATTCTCAAGAGATGAAACTTAAAAGAATAGTTTCACCCAAAAAAGAAAATGTACTTGTGGATTATTATGATGTTTTTATCAGGTGTTTGGACTCTCATTCTGACGGCACCCATTCACTGCAGAGGATCCACTGGTGAACAAGAGCTGTAATGCTACATTTCTCCAAATCCGATGAAGAAACAAACTCATCTACATCTTGGATGGCCTGAGGGTGAGTAAATGTTTGGCTAATTTTAATTTCTGGATGAATTTCCCTTTATAAAAGCCTTGGACGGATTGTAAAACTATTTGCAGTCCATTATTTTTTATGTGCTATTGCTGTGTGCTAGTATTCAGCTGCATGAGCAGCACATGCCCTGCTGTCGGTTTTCTGTCAGCTGGACACATTTTTGTGAAATTAGAGGCTTTGTTTAGATTGCTGCAGTCGTACCAAAGGAATGACGTTGGTATTGAGAGGGCAGCGGTCGCATTTCTGGCTGACGCTGATATGCTTCAGTGATTTATGACTCATAAAGCTGCTAATCTTTGAAGTTTTGTAATATTCG